TCAGCTTCTCTACAACCTTCCCGGCCAAAGGGCTGGCGCCCGTGACTTCTACGACAAACTGGCTAAGGTGATGAGGGATGACGAGATGGACAGTTTCAAGGCTGCACCAGCTTTGTTCATCGAGCCGAAGACGATTGCGGTTTCCACACATGTTGATGATTTCGAGATCCTTAGCACAGATGAGAGAGTGGAGAGGTTGAAGAACAAGTTGAAGGCGGCCGGGTTGAACTTTTCATTGGAGGGCCCATGTACTGTTGAAGGGGGAGAATGCCACTTCCTCAAGCGCAAATTCACTGGCACGGGTGAGGGGATTCTTGTGAGCCAGTCGGGGAAACACATACAAAAGCTTGTCGAGCTTGTGGGTGTTCAGAAGGCAGCGGGCAAACAAACACCATGCCCCTTGAATCCGAATGACGTGAAAGATGAAACACCATTGGATGAAGCCCGGCATGCAATCTATCGCACTGCAGTGGGAGTGCTGCTTTATCTAGGGCAGGATCGTCCAGAGTGCTTGTACGCCATCAAAGTTTTGAGTGGAAAGTGCACATGCCCAACGGAGCATGAGTGGAGTCTTTTGCGCCACTTGGTGAAGTTCTTGAAGGCGCATCCCGATCAAGGCATCCTCCTAACCCCGTGTATTCCAGGAAGGACGGTGCAGCAAAGATGCTTGGGTTTGGATGCCAAGTCGAAGCCCAAAGATTGCTTGTTTGGTAGCGGTCATTTGATTGAAGCCATCAGCGACGCTTCGTGGGCAGGAGAGAGAGATCGGAAATCCATCAGTGCCATGTGCATTTATGTGAACGGGAACCTTGTTCATGCATGCAACAGAAGACAGAAGTGTATCACACTCAGCAGTTGTGAAGCCGAGCTGCACGGATCCTTGGCGGCTGTTCAAGAGGGCATCTTCTTGAAGAGAGTGATTGAACATCTTTGTGGCGAGCCTGTTCAGCTTGTTCACAGGGTCGATTCCTCAAGTTGCCGAGCGGTGATTGGGAGAGAAGGGTTGACCCGAATGCGCCACATAGACATCTCCTACTTGTGGATCCAGGAACGTTGCAAAAGTG